AATAAAAAACTAAATTTTATTTAATAACAAAAATCATATACGTCGGTAAAGAATGAAAAAGTACATATAAAAAATAAAATACAAAGTGATTTTGCCAATTATTGCTTATTATAAATAGAGTGTCTCATTGTGTACCGTGTCTCATTGTGTACCGGTCTCCCCTATATTATATATATATTATACTTCATCACACAGAATGTTGTGCAACGCACCGCCGCTCAGGTGATCGATCGGTTATCGCCTTCTCCTTCTCTTCTTCTTCTTCTTCTTCTCTTCTCTTGAATATTTTTTTTCTTGCGTCTTAAAGGCCACGTACGCGTCTCATCTCTCGGTAGTGGGTGATCGATCGCTGTCTGCCCTTGAGATCATTTGTTCGTGCCGCAGGATATCGATAATTTTAGTCGTGGGCGATATTGTCGCCCGTTAAATTATCGGCCGGAAGCGAAAACGAATCAAGTCAGTACCAAAAAAAAAAAAAAAAATATCGCGGAAAATTAGGGACGCGATAAATCAGGGAAAGGAAATACGGATTATATACCGTGCTAGATGTGGTCCCACAATAAATATTTCATAAAAAAGTTAGAAACAACAAAATGATGTAGACGCGAAGTGATATCGAAAATACCGTGTCACAAGAGAGTAAGCCCGAACGATTTGTCTATTTTCGCGATAAATGTCAACGTAAATTAACGACAAGGCGGCATAATCGTTTATTTAGTAGATCACTTATGCCAATACAATAGCGTAGCGTCAAATTTTTTTTTTTTTGATTATAGTAAAAATAAAGAAGTTGATTAGAATGTAAAATGTGAGAGAAATTATAGTGAAAAAAATATAGAACAATTTATATATATGCGTATGATAATATAAAGACTAAAAAAATAAACAGAAACATATTTACAATATTTACAAGGAAACAACTTGTTCCTTGTCAATTTTGACAAGCTTTGAATGTATTAAAAAAACAAACACATTATAAGAGACATACTTTTTTTATAGGCTCCCTTTTACAACTCTTAAAAAAATCAGATTTTATTAAAACAATTTTTTATGTATTTTGTGTGTGCGTGTATATACATACTTGAAATTTTCCAAACTTTCAAATATTTTCCGAAATCTCCTTTTAGCATGTCTCTTGATAGATTTAATTAAGTTGTGACCGTAATAGGCGTGCAAAGCAGCCGTGCAATCATATACGCTCGCGCACACTTTCAGCGTTTTGCCGATCTCTATTTTGTGCAATAAGAATAAGAAATATATGCGAGAGCAGAGTATTTATGCACTCTCGTGCGAGTATGTCTTTGGCCGCTGGCGTCTTCGCGCGAGTTACGAGAAGAACAGCTAGGTCGAACAATGATCCCGAAATGTCCCCGCGCTTGTTCGGATAAACCGGTCTTTAAGAGGCAAGCGAGGAGATCGAACCCGTGTCACTGTGCCTGCCTCCGTACCGCACTTATTTATTTTCGGCCCGCAAATTCAATGGCAAGCAAAGTTGGCCGTTTGCCAGCGGCGCTCCGACACATGTCGCGTCGCGACGTCGCTTCTGCGGTCGCAAGCGCATTCGATTGTCTTATTCCAAGATGTTTTGATGTGTGGGAACTTAAGAGATCATCATGATTCTTTTTTGTGAGATCAATTTGAAATATCGCAAGCGTGTGAAGATTAATTTTACTTTGTATAGGAGATAATTAAGTAGATAATAAAATTCAATCCAAAAAAGTGATAATTTTAATCAAAACAAATATTGTTGTTTGCAACAATTTATCGTTAAATTGTTCTGAATAAAAATGGAGCGAAAATTGCACAACCTTATAATAAACTTGATAATATAATTGACATTAATCGTAATAATTATATATAATAGCTGAGCTATTATATATATATGTATATATATATATTTATTTATTTATGTACACACAATATGGAGTATGGTAATTGATAAAATATATAAAAAAATATTAAAGAGATCATGACACAGCCTCCAAAATTCCGTTATTACAACTGACAATAAGTCTAAATATATACATGTTCTGAACTTTAATAATCGACCGTTAGTAATATTTAGCAGAGACAAAATAAGGTCTCACGTTAAGTACAAAATGTGCGCATAAGATGTCAGCACTTCTGTCAGACAATTCTGGCGTCACTCCAAGACGCGTGCGTTAACAGTTGAGAAAACTTTTGAATGCTCTACAATGGAGCTTTCTGTTATAGTAATCTAATCTCGGCATTTTTTCATAATTATATGTACATACTTGCCGTTTATTATTGCGAAATTCATTCGAAATGTAAATTACTTAAATAATTTGTAAATATTATAAACACACCATCGAATATAAATTTTTAATATGAATAACAAGTGAGATGTATGTGCGCATATTGTCAGAGAAAGTAAAAATCTTATTTTTTATTGTGTAATAAGTTTCTCGCAGTTTTGATTTTATATTCGTTTTGTTTGAACGTGCAATTGTGACTAATCATCGAATTTGTAAAACAAATGTGTTCTGTAGGTGCATCATACACATTCTCTCAATGACATTGACAAGTTTTCTTACTTGGAATGTGTCAGGTGGAGAAATGATTAAAACTGTAATTCAATATACGTTGTTATCTTCTACAAATGTATCCATTCTGAAATCATGTGTGAAAAAGTCTGACTCTAAGATGATCTGGCTTTTATTTTTTGTCATTGACATAATATTAGCCGATAATGGCAACATGATTTTGAGACATTTAGGAGAAAAGGAGTATTCCTTAATAAAGGGTAAAAAACTTAAACATTAAAAAAAGAAAATTTAATCAACAGCACTTTGATAAAAAGCCAATCATCATTTTCACAGAAAAAGCATCATTGCCACAACATGGACTATGTTGGCATACTGCGCTTCAATCACTGGAGAGCAGCTGCGATAAACTCAATGATCATCAGCATTCTCTCCTCGCTTTGCGCTTGACAAATTGTTTTTTAGAGGATTCTGGTCACAAAACTTATAATTGTCATCTGAGCGAATCAGAAGATGAGCGTCGGTGAATCAAACGTTACTTAGAAAATTATCTTTTATGCTTTATTTTGATCTCCTTTGATCATTCTGTTTTATCTTTTATTATAAATCTGTTTAATATTTTTTTTTCCGCAGAAAATGCATCAGTAGTATGGCAGACAGAGAGTTTAATGTTTACAATGAATTCTATACCCATACTACTCATATATGTTTCTTTCTGCATCATGAAGCTTGGCAAGCGGAAGTTGACAATACCATAAAGTTGTGAGTAAATGATGTTCTATATACTCTGTGTGTAGTATCTTATAATATAAAATACCTCCTTCCACACATTTCATATTGTATACAAAACCAAAGTTTCTCATGTATACATGTTTATCGCGTTGTATGCACTTCTAGATTATTTCAAGTATCTTCTCGAATGAAAGATCAACTTCTAGAAGCATCGGAAATGCAAGGTGTAATACTGAATAGTCAGAAGGAAGGTTTACGTATTCAAAACGAACTTTTGGATCATGGAAAGGAACTCGGAACTGTGTTAAAGACTTCGTCCGAAACAGTTAGCAACATGGTGTCGGATTTCAAGTAAATTTACGAGAATAATTTCTGTATTTTATTTGAGAGCATTCGGATAATGCAATTGATAATTCAATTTAAACTCCTAATTAAATTAAACAGAGAATCAGCCAAGGATCAGAAAGAATTGCTTTACGAAATCTTTTCTTACATACGCACTTTTCAAAGCTGGATTATCGGGGAAGTGTCTTGGTTCCAGTCTATCATATTTTATACTGTTAGCTGTATTGTTTGTGCCTTGTTTAGTTCTTCAAAAAGAACAGCCGATGCGAGAGTTGCACTTTTCACTATTTTAAGTTTGAACGTAGTAGCCGAGAGAATATTAGTCAATTATTATGACAGTATTGTACATCAATCTCCAGAAGTTAAGGTAAATTACCATATTTTACATCCAATTAACATTAAAAAAAAAAAAACTGTAATCGATCTGTTTCTTTACACAGGCACAACTTTTAAGTACAACATGGTTCTACAGAAAAGTTGCTTTAACACTATGTGCCATAACGTTATTTTGTACATATTATTTTTATAGAGATAAACAAATGGAAAATTATAAAGCTTTAAGGAGAATTGAACATCAGCTAGATGTCATACAAAAACTCACAACTATTTCTAATATCGAACCAGTTCGTAAGTATTTATGTGTATTAATCATTTTATGCCTCTGCTTGATGAAAAATGTATTAAAAATGTATTAAAAATATCTATTATAGGTTACTCGAAGCGATTGGCATTGAAACGTTCAAGTGCTGTTTCTAGTAAACAGGAAATTATCACCGACAATCAAGGCGTCAATGCATATAAAAATAATAATTTTGATAATTAAAAAATAAACTTTATCAGGGATATTGTTTACTCTTTAGCAATTGTACATAATTAAAGATTATATATAAATAATAAAACATTTTGATAAATATATTTACAGAACTTTTTATATGCATTTATATTACACATACTATGTTTGATCTAAATTTTTTTTTAACTTTTTTATTTGTTTATTAATTAAAAAAACACTATACTGTTGGATATTGTCGTAAAAGATACGTTACTTGCTTAGAATTTAAATTCTTACTGTTTGGTACTGGCACATTCGTTTCGATCTTTGCACGCTTTATATTCTCATTGTATCTTTCGTAGCATGCTTCCAATGATTTAAGTTTTGAGAGACAAAGTTTGTCTTCATACGCATTTTCATCAAGACATGTTAGAAGCAGGGTCATCTCGTATAAACATCCACGATCTGCAATAAGAGTATTTTGAATTAGTATAAAATAGAATTTTTTTAATATATTGGACTAGGTATATATATATATATATATATATATATATATATAAAACTTTTTAAAACATTTAAAAAAATTGATACTAAAAAATAACTTTTTTTACCATTGCTGTAATTATATTTTAAAATATTAAGCAATAATTAAATAATAACATAAACCTGCCTCTGCTTACTTAAAATATACAATACATACCTGAAGTTTTACGAAACTTTGAAGATACACGATCCTTTAATTGCAGCGGCAACACCGCATTAAATGGCACTTTATTTTCATTTTGTGGCCTTCTACCAGCAAACCAACGTGACGTCAATCTCATTTTTCTGTAAAACATATAACGTTAGATGTGAAATTGTTTAGAATGTAAGGTTAGAATTTGCATTTAACTTGTATACGATATATATATATGTATACTACGCTTTTTAGGTTAATATATAAATGAATAATAAATGTAAGAGACATGTAATTTCAATAATTGTTAACAAGAAACACAAACATACATCTTATTTGTTAAACAATGCGCTCACTGTGTTGCAAACTGTAGTACAATCGCGCAGCTTTTTACGCACATGCGTGTTAAGTATCAAAAGCAAAGTGTTAACGTCGTTTGTTTCGCCATTCTTACTTTTCAAAAACAAACTTTATTGTAAACACTCACTTATAAAGATAATACGATTTGTTATTTGAGTAGAGAAAAAAAGAAAAAAGTCGACATACACAGGAATACATTTTACGATTTTACATTTTTAGACTGCGATCAAGATAGCGCTATAAATACTTTGAAGCATCATTCTGTCTTTATTCCTCATGGAATGTAGAACAAAGATAGAACGATACTTCGAAGCATTTGTGGCATCTGTGTGCGTGTTTGTTTCGAAACTGCACCTTAAATACGTACAAAAATACTTTACTCTTCAATAATTGAAATATATATCATTGATTCGATGTGTTCGATAACATCATTGTAAAGTTTTCCAAACAAATTTGTCTGTTCAATCGCGCTTAAAGATTGTTCTTGATTAAAAATAAACTTACTTTTTTGACGAAGCGAAGAAGCCATTTTACAAATTTGCCGGTGGACGCGCCATATTGATTTCAACCTCATCTATCGGAAGTCGTCAACACTATTTAGGACTTGTTGAGCGATTGAGCGGCTAGTCCGGCTTGTCAAAAAGTTGTCTATCAAATGTGTCCCGCAAAATGAACGAATATATGTTGAATATATGTTGATGTGTGAAAGAATTGTTCCAGTAATTGGAAGAATAAGTGTAGAAACAGAAGATGAGCATTACCGGTAAAATACTCCATAACAAAATACGCGGGCTGCGCCCAGATGTGTCGTCGGGAATCACATCGGAGATCCTGAGCAAAATTTGTGACGACGCGAGCACTCAACCTTTCCTGGAATGGTTCTGCAAGAATGTGAGCAGTGCTAATATTCTCTCCAACGAAGAAATAAAATTGTAAGATACTTGTTGCTCAGTCGAAGTTGATTGAAATAAAATTCACTGTCTCTCTGTTTTTTTTTTGTTACATAGAAAAAATGTTTTGCAAGAGTCTGAGGAATGGTTGGAAGGTGAAGCGTTAGAAACTGCATTGAAAGAAGCCACAGAAGACTATCCGGACTTGCTTCAACTCGTTAGTATTGATGACACAGAGGATTTACTAGCGGAATATGAAGAATTGAAGGAAAGCTGCAGAGAAGATGAGGAGTATCTTTGTTTATTGCCACAGAATATAAAAAATCTGAAGTGTGTATTCTTTTAAAATTCTTTGATTTCTTAAGTATTATAAAATTAAAATTCTTTTGAAGTAAAAAAAGAGCAATAGATATCATATAAAATTTCTGCAATTAAGTGTCAATTGAGTAATATATTTTCAAAATCAAACTTCTATATTCAAATTAAAGAATTCTTATACAGTTATTATACATGAAACAGTTAACACTCAATCTTGTTTCAGACAAATAGAAAACCAGATGGATGATAATATTGAAGAAGCAGACATTATACTGGATAAAGAGCAAATTGAAACTGAAAAGATATATGATGATTGTAATGCAGTTCTGAAAGAATACGAAAAGGACAATCATCAGTTATCGAATAATGTCAATGTTCTTTTGAAAGTGTACACTGACGCCGCTCAGAATGTAATTAATTCAAGTCATATAAATTTATTAATATTTGTTGAGTGTTTGTTATAATATTTGTCTGTATGACCTTTAATTTTTTTTTAGCAAGGCGGAGCAATATTGTGGTCACAAATGCCCATAGATCTGTTTATCAAGCAAATAGAACTTTACAATCATTATCTAAGAACTCACGTAAAGAAACATTTTGGAGATACTACTAAGGAAGATTCCAAAGACTCTGATTATGGATCTCTGATAAGTGACAGTAGAGATAAACAAGTTGATGAAAAGATGCATGAATTATATTTATGTAAGACAAAGTAAGTATTCTCTAAACGCTTTTTATGTATGAAATAATATACTTACGTTGTCTTGTGTTTGTTTGTTTTTTTTGTTTCATGTAGTTTAACAAAGTCAAAACTTGAAGAGATTGATGCTAAAATTCAAGAAGAACCTTATACAGCAATATTGGAATGTGTGCAGAATATTTATAATGGCGGGAATATAAAAGTACCTAGAGACAGTATTTTGCAGTAAGTAAAAAATATTATTTATCATTAAGTTATTGCTTCATTTCATATCAAAACAATTCTTTCATAGTTTTGACGTAGAGAAGAACGAAAAGAAATAGCGAACATGTATTTCAAATATTCATTAGATATAAATATATTATTAGAGATATATTATAAGATACAAATATATATCTATATCTGTGTGCGTATTATTTAAACAAACTTATTAATTAAAATTATTAAATTCGTACTTTAATTTTAAATAGCGATGAAATACGGGAGTTAAGCAGGAAGAGGAATTATCTGGAAGAGAATATCGAGCTTTTGTGGAGCCAAAAGATTCCACAAGTAGTTCAGTTTGCGGAAATAGAAATAATAAAAATTCAAAAAAACAACGCACTGGCTCGTCTCGAACGGAGGAAGGCTCGTCTCGAGAAACTGGAGAATTTATATTCTCTCGCCGGAGAACACGGACATGTTTATGTTGATTTACTATGTATATTAATGGAAATGCAATCTCACCGCCTGAATGAAGTTGCTGAATTCATCGCAGATGCTCGTCACTACATCACAACAGAATACAAATTCTCTGCTGCAAGATCTGTTAGTTTTAGTTCATCATCATTTATTTCTCGCTAGCTCTTAAATGGCTCAGAGAGTTGTTGTATAACGAAAACAATATAAATCATTTTTGCTCTATTAACACACTAGAAACATACGTAAAATGTGCAGGAAATCATGCAACAACAACAAGACGAATACGCAACTCTCATGACGAACTTTCCAAAAACCTACAATGTATTCAATCATATATTCATCTCTATGATGCTCGGCGATAATTCAGACGGGACGCTGTCTTCCGCATTGAAGAAATATGATGATCTGCTAGCCGACAACGCGGAGAAGAAAAAATTTCTAATGGAAATGCACTTAAATAATAGAATCTGTAAATTACAAAACCTGTAGGTATTAATTTTGTTTTCGTTAGTAATTTTGGTAATTTTTATGATATATATCTTTTCTGATTCCTTTTGTGGGAGCAGAGAGGACAAAATAAACAAACATTACGTGGCTGAGACACAAAGCGGGCCGACGATCAGCTTCAGACCGATGTCGTACGAAATAAGCGTCAAATCTGAAGAAGTATCCGCGGACGTTCAAAACCTGCAGGAAGATATAACAAGAATTAAAAATCAGTTTAAAGAGCGATTGGTATATCACTTGTTCATGTTTAATGAGGTTCACAAATATATATTGCCGTTTTGCTAATAAATTTTCTTGTTTTCACAGAGGATGGATGTCAATTTGGAACGTGAGAAGGATATTCTGTGGCAGAGGTTCTTAGCGGATCCAGACACCTTAAGAATGAACTGCAAAAACGCAGAACGAAAAGCGAACGCGTCTCACTTCGGAGATACTTCGGAAATTAATTCGAGTCCGTGAATCTCAACACGCGCTTCATATAAATTGTCAAATATGTATAAAGAAACTTTTATAGATTATAAGCAACGCCTTGAATCTGTTTTTGTTTTTCTACGTTTTCGAAGTATAAAAGAAAACAAAAGTTTTGCACCGCAAAAATGTATCGTAATGAAAAAAAAAAAAAAAAAAAAAAAAAAAAAAAAAAAAAAAAAAAAAAAAAAAAGTTTGTGCATCGTTCTTGATAATACTCCGAAATTGTTTTAGATCATTAAAAAGTATCCCGTTCGCCGTTTTCGTGGACGTAATACTAATGT